TGGCAGCACAGTCCGGACTGCAGGAACAGGGCTGACCACTGGTGGGTGGAGCTCGGTGGGTGCTATGGGGGGAAAACGGGGAATTGCTGGGTGACAGGGTGGGAGCCACTCATGCACCAAGTGTATTGGTTCCCTGCTGGCACCAGACTTACCCCCCATCACCTCCAGGCGTGCCCTGGCCAGGACACTGCCAGCTACACTGATGGCCTGGCACAGGTAGTGGCCGGCATCACTGGGCTGGACGTCAGCGATGGTCATGGCACCGCCAGCACTCACTGAAATGTGGCCGGAGGGGACTGGGGGTTGTCCCGGGAACAGCAGGGTCTGGGGAGGGAAGAGTGAGTCAGGGAATGGGTGGGTGGGAGAGGGTGGGGATGGCATAGGGGCAGGGTTGGGGATGGGAATGGGGACAAGGACGGGGACAGGGATGGGATGAGATGAGATGGGGATGAGATGGGATAGGGCTTGGGATGGGGACAGAGACTGGGATGAGGATGGGATTGGGATAGGGACTGTGATGAGCTGCAATTGAAATGGAATGGGGATGGTGATGAGATTGGAATGAGGCTGGAATGGGGACAGGGATGGTATGGGGATTGGGATAAGGATGGGGCTGGGGCTGGAGTCAAGAATGGGGACAGGGATGTGAACAGGGAAGAGGACAGACCTGGCTCCCCTCCTTCTGCCAGAAGACAGCAGGTGGTGGATTGCCCTTGCTCTGGCACTGGAAGGTCACACTCTGGCCAGGGGTGACAGCCTGGTCACGGGGGCCGGTGACAAGCTGGGGGGGCACTGCCACAGAACAGAAACAAGGGCTTGACCAGGCACTCCACCAGCACCCAACGGTGCTCCCAGGGCCCCCCCTTACCATGCACAATGAGGGTGCCTGATGCCTCTGACCTGCCCACGCTGTTATCAGCCACACAGGTGTAGGTGCCCTCATCCTCTGCCTGCAGCCGGCTGATCCTCAGGGTGTTGTCTGGGAGCACCTCCCACCTGGGAGAGCCCCGTGTGGCCATGGCATTGGCACAGTGCCAGGGCACCAGGATGGCATGGGGTGCAATGGGGTTGGGATGCAGTGAGGATGTGGGATGTGATGAGGATGTGGGTACAACAGGGATCTGGGATGCAAGAGAAATGGGGGATGCAATGGGGATGTAGAATGTGGTGGGGATGTGGTATGCAATGGAGGTGCAGGATGCGAAGGGGATGTGATGTAATGAGCATACAATAGGGATGAAGGATGTTCTGAGGATGGAGGATGCACCAGGGATATGGGATGAGATGGGCATACTTGATGCCTTGGGGATGTCAGGTGCTCCAAGCACACCAGGCTGGCACATAGCAATGCCACCTGGCTGCATCACAGACACCCCTGGCCCTGGTGCCTCTCCCAGCAGCCCCCTTACCCATCACTCACCTTCCCAGTGGCATCTCGCCCTCCTCCTTGCGCCAGCGTGCGGCAGGTTGGGGGTCTCCCACCACCTCACAGGCAAACTCTGCTGTGCCCTCCACCAGCACCGCCTGGCTCAGGGGCCTCTTGCCAAACGCCGGGCGCTCTGCAGGGTGGCTGTCAGTCCTGCCGGGATGGCACCCACCCCCCAGCACCCCAAAAATGCATCCCCACGCACCGAAGACCACCAGCTCGGCTGGCTCGCTGTCCCTCTCCCC